ATACACATACAATTCGAGGCGGATAAATAGTTTTATACTTGTCACACCCTTTCATAAAACTAGAGCTTTTGAGGGAAGTTTCCGCTACCAGGCTAGTAAATGCTGGAATAATCTTCCACCCCCACTCAAACATCCATTGTCAAAGAAAATTTTTAAAAGACATCTTAAAGTTATATTGTTGGACACCCAAAAACATCCCTGATAGTGGAAGGTACTCACTTGCGCTGTACTTTTAAGTTATGCTTCTTTTGCACTAGACACACAATATCACACCTAATACTGTGAAAATTCTCAATAAAGGATAGCTATCTTTGTAATTTCTTACTGCACTTATTTATTCTAATATATATTATAATCTATGTTAGTAGTGACATAATTCATTTAATCTCATTTATTTACTTGTGTAGAATTTAATTTTGGGACCCGGTCGACGCATGAATGCGTAAGGATACGACGGAAGAACAGCGCCAGTCTCCTGACTGGCATTAAGCTGAGTCGTGGCCTTTTCATGGTTGTATACAACACATTGTATATATAAGCTTATTATTTAATTTCAGGTTTTCACATTTTCCTCCTGTATTTTATTTTGCTTGTTTTTGTAATTGTGTTTCTATTTTTGGTTATTGTGTTGTATGTACCGATGAATAAATGTTTTTCTATTCTATTCTTCTATTCTATGTATACATACATACTCCATGGTTACGACCTTAGAGATAACTTCCGTCCTTCCTTCCGAAGCCCATAAAAAGTCGTCAAATTAAAACTAAAAAAATCAACTCAACTGTCAAATCAAACACAAATGAAGCTTTTACTGTGTTTTTTTACGAATTTTTAGCAATAAATGTATCAAAAGTGGATATTACCGAGGGACAAAATGCAAAGCACTATCAAAGAGTTGCTTGACGCTTTGGGGTAAGTCGTGATTTGCTTTAAACGTCGCAGCAAAGTTGTTTTGTTCCAATTGGTAGTTACGCGTTTTTCATTTAATTTACAGCTGTAATTTAGAATTGGACACCGTTTTCGACTACATCCAAAATGATCCCAACTACGGCAACAGTAATCTATCCTCAAAACAAGTGAACGAGTACGCTCAGAGATTGGCGCTAAAAGGTTCCAATTCTAAAGCATTCCTCAAGAAATATGAAGAACTGAAGAATCGCAAGTGAGTTTAACGATTCGTTTAACCATTTATTTGATGTTTGCATTTTGTCATTTAGGTGCGTTGGTGCTGAAGAGTTTTTGGCTCGACTTTTTCTTTTTTTATTAATGTATACATATCGAAACATTTACATGAAACATAAGAAGCCTTAATTTTCAATATGCTCAATTTATGGTTCTATTTAAGGTGGTTGCATGCATACAAACCATATCCCAGATAGAAATCATCACTTTTAGAATCCAAATGTAAAAATATCTTCCCATCTAAAACTGTATCAATTACCTATGCTCAAAGATTTTTCAACTTTCTTGGACCCTTTTTGTACAATAAAATTAACTACAAAATATCAGTATCAACAACTTATGAGTGCAAAAAGAAAGTAACTGATTATCTTCAAAAGTTGGATTATGAGGATACCAAGCTCTCCTTCCTATCATCACATAAGGCCACACTAGTACTCCTCTCTATCATGGCATAAGGCCACCAGTACCAATTTCTGTTAATGAAATTTTTTCCGGAAAAAATTCAGACAATTGGAGAATATAGTTCAAAGACTCGAATTATGTTCTGCTGTTGGATATATCTTTTGAAGTTTTATTTACCTAACAAAAACACAGCAACTGGCACTTATGCACACATTGCACACACACGCACACAATTGTTATTTATAATGTTTAATGTACTTTAACTCTCTTTTCTGTCCCTTATCCACTTCATTTTACACTACATGCGGGGTGGGTGTCTGGAGACCTATCATACAGACTAGACCTAGTTGACTCATCTCCCACAAACGAAGCTACTGAGGAGAAATAAATAATTTTGTATTCGTATTTGAAATTAAAGTCAGGATTAGAACATAGACACTAGGATATATGTACAGTGAAAAATTAAAATAATAATGTGTTTTCAGGACTGACAATCTATCAGAAATCATAGCATTGTTTTACAAGTTGATCTGTGATGAGAAAAAGTCAAAGAACTCAAAGCCTAAAGTTGCCCCCAAGCCTGTGTTGGGAGATAACAAAATCCAAATAACTAAAGAAGATTTACCACAGGTATTGGTTATTGCATGAAGTCTGAAAGACAATATGTAGTATCTGAATAGGTAGTCTAATTAATACTGACTTTACTCTAAGTGCTACTAAGACTTAACAAATTCTCTTTTTTTGTGACTCGTTTAGAAGTTAATTGTAATGTAAGGTTTATGATGATGTAGAAATGCCTAGTAGGTAAGTATATTTTATAAAAATAAAGATTTCTATCCTCAAGTTTTGGATATTATGCTATTACAATACTGTTAGCTTCTTATTTTATATTTGTAATTAGGAAGGCAATAAAAAAATCGTTTTTAAAGATTGCTCCCATCATGCATTGACTAAGTGAGTATTCCACTAGCAAACTGCGTTATGTGTGTGGATAAAAAAAGATATAAAAAAAAATGTTCTGAAAATGAATTTTTAAATGGTACTTTTCTAAATATCTGAAAAATTGTGATAAAAAGAGACAAACAATATGAAGAAACAAAATCACAGCATTAAACTTTTTGCTTTTGCAACAGTAATCTTATAATAACTAGTTTTGTAATTGTTAAGAATTAATGTAGCTAGTTTTGCAACAACACAATGATAACGTGGCTAGTTATAATAGTAGTAAAAAATAACTTGAACCTAATTTTGGTTAGACTCCTTTCCTTTGACTCTTATAACCACGTCGTCAACCATCATTGTATCTTCATTACTGTCATTTCTTCTTCTTCGGTCACATTTGTTTGTACTTGCCTGATAATATGAGCATACAATTCAAGTATTTCGTATGTAAACCAATCTTCTCCAAAATGTTTGATGTTCAAGTTATTAATAAATGAACATGAGGCACCTCTCGGATGACAAAATAATAGATACCAAACAAACAACGGATTTTGCGCGAGTTTATACTCAATAGAGCAGCATTTTCAGATTGACGACAAAATGGCAATTTTTAAAAGTGTTAAACTAAGAAAGAGCGACTTTTGCAAAAGTGGTCAACATTTGTCACTGATTTGTTCAAAATATACCAAGTTTTGGGGCTGTATTTTTGAAGTATTTGAAACTATTTAAAAATACTGATCCATTTCACACCATTACCTAAAAATCATTAAAAATGTCACTGTTTGCAAATGGACTACTCAAGTATAATAGTTTTGCAATTGCATTAGCATAGGCAATATATGTTACAGTAATATAATAGCGAGGCAGGCGATACCAACTAATTACTTGTAATGCCTGATGATTACATCCCTCTACCAATCAAACAGTCACCGTCACTCTGATCCACCACAAAGTAGTGCGCTTTATGAAACTCTTTTTCATCCGTATTAATATAAGTAATCTTGTTTTCAGATCAAAGATAAGTTACTGAAAGCAGTAGATGAAAGTAAAAAATTAGTTATGAAGTCATTTGAAGAGAAGGAAGCTAAGCTGCGACCAAATTGGTACAATAGCCTGGGTCTTCCCAATTGGCAAAAGGACCACCCTGCGATGTCCTGGGACTTCCCAAAGGAACCTGTACCCATTGTAGCTGCTTTAGGTAAATTTGAATTTGAAGACATCTTCAAGCGTGAGCATAGAAGCCTTCAAATTATTTTTTTACCAGTAATATTTACTAAATATAATACTTATAAGTAAACAGTTTGATAATTATGTTAAACCAAAATCATAAAAATTCAATTTCTTTAAATATAAACTACTGTCCATTTAAGCAATGTCTAAATTTTTCAAGGACATGTTTGATATTAATATCACTAATATTTATATTTTAGCTGGTGTACCTGTGTTGTCACAAGAAAACATAGTTGTAGAAGAGCTATTATACTTATTTTCTGGCATACCTGGCAACTATATAGTCCATAGACCTACAAAGGAAATGTATGAACCCCGTTCATTCATAATATCTGAAGATGTTGATGATGCATTGAAACAAATAATTCAGCAAATGCTTCCATTAGCTTCAAACTATTCTATAGTTAGGAGGTTCATTGAAAACATTGATATGTGGTCCGGGCAAATACTACATGCTTTAGTAGCTGCTATTGAGATTCTACTGAAGGATTACTATGTAAGTTTTTATCTTACACCTACTGTTGCTATATAGTAAGGTAGATTTTTGAACAGTATTATTGATAAAAAATTGCTTCATTAGGTGAATAACAAAAATGTGAAATAGGTAAGGAAGAATTCCTAAATTTTCCCTTTTTAAAGGTTATATTTTAAAGCAAATTGCTGAATAAAGTATCAGTGTAGATTTTTGTAACAAGAATATACTGAGATCTCTTGTATTTTAAATATAATTTTTCAATAGATATCAAAACATTTGTCTAACTCAGCTTAGAAAACGATTAACAATATCATACGCCAATTATATTCAGGCATTGCTCCACGCACCGACAGCATTGTTCCAGTTAAATGACCTGTGAAATTGACTATGATGATCCATTTTTAATGGCCTCTATTACTATAGTATGTTAGAGTTCTATTTCAATAGGTTTTGATGTAATTGAAACCAATCAGTGAATTTGTAAATCTGCTTTTAAAATCCAATGTCTTAGAACATGCAACTTTTTAATTTGAAATCTTGTTGAGCTTAATTTGAAATCATTTATCATGGTTTCAGACAATGCTGGCTCAGTTAGAAACAGAAGCAATGTCGGGAAGCCTTACTCTACAAAAGTTGTGGTATTACGTTTTACCAACTATGCACACTATGCAAGTATTGGTTGCTATAGTTACTACAATTGGAAAGGTAAGTATTATTATATCGAGTTCTTAGGTTTACACGACTGTTACACATAGGAAATGAAACAATTTTTTCCGGATCTAAATAGCGTATATTTGTTTGGTTGAAAAATCATACAAACTAATGTTTCGGGCCCTTTACGGGTTCCATGATCACAACTGACTGCCAGCCGACTGGTGCCTGACTGGTCAGTAGTGGCCATGAGACCTGTAAAGGGCCCGAAACGCTGAATTGTTTGAAGAAAACAAGAAATAGGTACGCTATTTAGTTCCGGAAAAAATATTTTCATTTCCTTGGTGTGTATTATTGTTTATTTTTCAATATGTAATACATAATATAATACAAAGCACACAATGTGCAAAAGGTAGTAAACAATACATTTAAAACCCCTGTGTTGTTTTTGAAAGACGTATAGAATATTAAAGACAAAAATGAGTAGGTACACCTTATAATAAATAAAGTGGTACAAAAAGCAGGAATAATTTTAACCGCCATTTACTTATGGTCTGGCCACACAGAGGCGACCGCGGAAGCTTTCCGGGCACGGGAATTTTTGTAATGTACTAGTTCATATGAACCCTGCCACAACGCGTAGGGTTGACAATAATTCCCGCGTCCGGAAAGCTTCCGCGACTGTCTCTGTGTGGCCAGAGCATTATTGAGTTTTTTTCCTAGTGACAGACACCGTGTGTGAAAATTTATTTTATTTCGTAAATTAGAGCGAATTACGCGGCGGCGCAGTGCTGACTGTTCTCCATGACAAAACAAACATGCTAATGGGCGACACGCGTGCGCAAGAAATCTCACTATATCTAACCGAACGTGCTAGCAAACCTTTCCTCAGCATACTGGACCAGTGGATACATAAGGGCACTATTATTGACCCATTTCAAGTATGTATAAGTTTATTTTTCCGCATGCTTATATTTAATAATATGTGGCTGTTAACTATATAACAGCTGACTTTTTAATCACCATCCAAATTATTTCTACCCTTAGGCATTATGTTATATAAGACTCAATTTTTTTTCAAATTTGCACAATAAAATTATTTTCTGTACAGTATGGTTACCTACCCTTGTGGGGCAATAAAAATAGGGGCGCCCACGGGTAGCGGCGATGGGGCCTTATAAAACTCAATCGATACGCAATATTACTAAGTTATGTTCGATTAATAACAACACAATAAGTGTTAATAATAGAAAAATACACCTACTTATTAAAATTTGTACCTTTATGGCGGAGAATTTGGAAAAGAGATTATTTTTATGCGTAATGAACAATGGCAAAATAAAAAAGGAATTCTTTAGCGTCTTCAAATATCATAATTACAAAATTGAATAAAATAAATTGATTAGATTTTTCAAATTATACTAAAAACCTGTCTAAGTCTGAAAATAATATCAGATTTAAATGAAACTCAAATGACAAAGAATTAGTATGTACGTACTTATATCTACAACGGTCAGTTTCTTAACGTAGAGCGACATCTAACCGCCAAAAAGAAAGAGATTTTTCAATACCATAGATAAGTTCACATTAAGTTAGTTCACGTAATATCAAATGATAGGATTTGAGCAATTTGCAGTTAGGGATTAACTACTTTGTTACAAAAAAATAAAGTAAATAATTAATCCACGCGAGGAAGTGGTAAAAGTTCCCGATATCGGGGATAGATTAACTGCCACCGTGGCCGAACGGTTACCATGCCGGACTGCCACGCAGAGGTCCCAGATTTGATTCCCGGGCCGGGAGAAATGTTTGTATGGCTTACATTTATTTCTCTCGTGAGTTTGGGTGTAATTTGTGGTTGTCTATGTGTGTGTCCATGGCACCCGCGACACAGGGTTTCCCTAGTGCGGGGCTATGTTGAGTGTGTACGTTATTTATTTATTTTAATAGATGGCATGTTTCATAAAATATATATTTGTGCCTGAGTTACCAGGGTATGGTATATATTAACTCCGTTTTCTTTTGTTGTGGCTTAACTTCATGCCGTTTGATAATTTTTTAATAAACAGATGCATACATATTATGCCTACAAAAAAAATTGGGGAAGTTCGCCATGCTTCTTTAGTTATCCATTTATAAACGAGAATGTATATTTATTACTTTCATTCAGAATTTTTTTTAACTTTCATACTGTGTCTTCTCAGTTCCACAATTTTGAATAGCGACAGCATTGACTTACAATAGCGACAGTATTTAATTTTAAGTGCGATTTGAGTCGCTGACCTTCTGTCTGTCTGGCAACAGACTGACGGGGAAAAAAATTAGGATATACTAGGGATGATTTTTCTCACTGACGTCAAGCGGACTCGCGAGATTGATCTACTGACTACTAAGGGTGTCTTGACCACAGCGAGAGGACGTTGGCACTTTGGCACTAGATAATAAGACTCGACTGCTGTTGAAATACTGATTTTAATAATAATTAATAGCTGTTTTTACCGTTAACATTACACACACTAATACTAATATTGTCTCTAAGATCTTAAGTGTCTCAGTCGGTGTCAAATGCCGCTGAAGCACTTTCTTTCAGTCTAGTTTTGGGTCATTCATCTTGCTGAGTTGAATATTCAAAGGTCGCTTGAACAGATGTGATTACTGATTCCAGGAGTTCATGATTGAAGACAATGAGTTAGTAAACAAAGAAGAATTACCAGTGGACTATTCCGCCGACTATTGGGAGAAGCGGTACAGTGTGCAGAAAGACCGCGTGCCCAAGTTCCTTGACAAGTACACTGATATCATACTAAGGACTGGGAAGTATTTGAATGTCATTAGCCAATGTGGTAAGTCTCTTTAACCCAGTAAGAAACAGTTATGTCCCTTATTTTTATCGTTTGATGTAAAATAAAATACTGACCATCTGTTACCATTAGAATATCTCATTAATCCCTTCCATTCTCTTCGATTTTACAAGCATCAGTCAATATTTACATTTATTCACATGTAGTTCGTACAAACATACCTACATACATACTTTTAACAGGAAAGTTTAAAGAAAAAAAGGTTTATAGAAACCTCACTGCATTTGCCGAGTGATATTGTATTACACAATATTTTAGATTCTACCGATCAATACCAACAACTTTCACTATGAGGACCCGCTTTAATTGCAAAAAAAAAAACCGCTGTCCCATATTTTGGTCAAATATGAAAAAGCATTCGTAATTTACTGAGGTCCTCTTAGTAAAAGTTGCTCATATGAATGGGCAGTATTACCCCATAAAAATGCTATCCTGGTAAAATAAATTCATTTACCATAAAATCTTCCCATTTAAACTTAGACAAATAACATCAACAGGTAAACCGATCTCCAAAAGTAACACGGAGGAAATCAAATACTCTCTCAGAGAACAAAATTACAGTGCCATAATACAAAAAGCTTATTCGTTCGCGAGCAAAACTTTACTAGAGCTACTATTGAAAGAATACGCTCTTATGGGGAGACTGAAGTCGGTCAAGAACTATTTCCTCATGAGCCAAGGAGACTTTATAGTGCAGTTCATGGATGCCACAGAACAAGAACTATCGAAAAAGATCGACGATATTATACCCTCGAAATTAGAGTCGCTATTGGGACTTTGTTTAAGGTAAAATTTATTGATTTGCCTGTGGATTAGACAATAATTACATGTTACCGGTATTAAAACCATTTTGTTTCAGTCAGAATTTTTGTGACTAAATTTATTGAAAAAAAAAAATTAGAAGTAATCGGAAATCATTCTGCAGAATGTCGGCAGGTGTCGCGAAAAGCCATGGAAGCCTAATCGTTACCATGTCGGCCTCTAGAGCAGAGAGTCGTAGGTTAGAATCCGGGCTTGCACCTCGTGGATTTTTCGGAATTTACGTACGAAACTTAATTTGAAATTTACCATGAGTTTTTGGTGAAGGAAAACATCATGGAGAAAAACCTGTACACACCAGCAAAGCAATTTAATTATGTGTATGAAATTCCCAATCTGCATTGGTCTAGCCGGCCCACAGCCCCAGCTCTCGCATAGTGAGAGTAGGCCTGTGCCCAGCAGTGAACTATATGTAGGTTAACTATTATATTACTAAAAAAGGCTAATTAGTCAAGTGATCTTGTTATCTTATCTATGAAAGAAATTTTTAAAGAAAATCAATACAAAACATTGTTATCAAAAGTCAATATTATCGCAACACTAACTGCCTCCGTGACAGAACGGTTAGCAAGCTGGACTGCCATCTAAGAGATCCCGGGTTCGATTCCCGTGCCGGAAGAAATATTTGTACGGCCTTCATTTATTTCTCTCGTGAGTTTGGGTATAATTTGTGGTTGTCTATGTCTATGTGTCCATGCACCCGCGATACAGGGTTTCCCTAGTGCGGAGTTATGAGCGTGCGCGTTATTAACAATTCCAAGATCGATTATCTGCTGTTATCAATACGTCAATATTGCAGGCTGTCGGCTGCTAGTCACGACCCCTACAATGAAGATATGAGAGTGGAACTCTTGCCATATGATTTACAGTTCCAAATGTTCAAGATATTGTCAATAGAAACTGAAGATGAAAAAGGTAAGTTTTGCTTTTTGCTTGAAATTGTATACTACTTGTTCCTCCCGTCATTTGATATTAAAAAGTATTATGGTCATGCAACCTGCACGTACGCTTACAAAAATAATTTTTTGGTTGATCATGACATAATATGCATCAGTGGTGAAGAGACGATCTGACACGATCGGCTTACCTAAGAAATATACTAAATTCCAAAAAAAAAATGGGCACGTAGGTAAGCTCTGAATGACATTTTTTTAGCTCCTTGAAGGTTTGTGGTGCTTTCTGCATTGACCTAATTCGTCGCTTCAGAAAGTCCCAGACATTCCCAATATCGGAGTAAGTTCGGGACTTCGTGCTGGCCAATCCAAACGACGGATCCCAACCTCTTGCATATACGTTTCTACATCGACAGAACGGCGAATGTTGTCATTTATAAAAATGGAATCTTGTCCAAGAACAGTCAATGGGGGTAGTGCGCGAGGAATTAGGGTCTCCATCACGTGCCATTTTCGATAGACTAAAGCTCAATTTACATTGTGGTGGATCGAAAGCGAAATTCGCCTCGCTGCGCCAGAAGGCCCTTCTTCCTCTTTCTTTCTGATCTAGACGATTAGATTTGCCTTTCTATTGAATCGATTCGCTTGAAAATCGCGTTGAAATAAATCTGTCCAAAAATTGTAATAGTTTAGCAATAGCGATCTATCTCCCCCACCTACCACTGTGTATGTGTGGACACGATACTCTCCACTCTCCAATGTTCCTAGTAATGTGCGAAAGTATTATCGTTAGCGTACCGTGCTTTTATTCCAAAATTTACTACAACCTACTATATCATATATTATATCCTATCCTATACGGGTGTCCCAAAAATAACACGCTAGAGCGACACTGTGGGTAGGTGAGCTATATACCTACCAGAAAAAAAATATTTTGACCCTAGTAAAAGTCTTTTAGTTTTCGAGATATAGGCCCTTTTTTATTTTTTTGCAAAAACTCGACTCTTTGTTGGGTTTTACGCTATTATTGCCATGGTTAGCTCCAGATGGTTGTTTTTTTTGTTTTTCGAGTATTCTGAATAGTTTTTCCACAGCAACAAATATTTTACTGAGAAATATCATAAACTATGAAAAAAGTTATTAATTTGGTATACCTCGTACCCTTGTAAAAAGTTAAACATTAACTTTGAATAGCTAGTGTGAAAAAAAATTGTATGAAACTGAATTTATAAACGATCTTAAAAACTACTCCACTTAATGCAGAATCAGGAATTGTACAATACTATTGAAATTTTTGACAAGAACTTAGTCATTTCATTTTTTTTCGACATCAACACCCTACTAGCCGAATTGGTTTCTAAACAAAAATTGTGTTAAATTATTGAGCTTTATGACTAACTACTCTGTCGCTAGGCCCTAGATAGTAAAAAATGAGCGAGAAGTATGATTATTTGTTATCTCTCTCTTACGTCGGTATCGGTCGCCAGGTGGGATCGGGTCGGGTTGGGCCCGTAGTACCCGTTAGTACATACCTTTGTGTTTTGTGCTACGTACGCGTTTTTCGTTTTATCGCTGCTTCCGTTTCTACACTTTCGACGACTTGACATCACTTTGGACTTTGATTTGATAACGATCGGAAAAGTTTTTTTAGTAATCATATCAACAACTTGGCATTACTTTGGACCCTGATTTGCTTACTATTTGAACCGTGTTGTTTGTGTGTGATCGACGGCTGCGCCTCCGGATACTGCCTTTATACAGTTAAAATGGCAGATCAACAGAATATCGTTGGAGCAAACCCCGAATCCACTCATAGTGATTACGCTGACATGTACCTAATTTACGGCGAAACTAGACGTGTTTCTGCTCGCGGTATCGAATCGTTAAATGCAAGATTGTATGCGGTAAGATTTCCTAACCGTAGGCCACCGACCCATGAGACCATAATAAGAGTTGATGCTGCATACAGAGAGGGTAGGAACCCTGGCCATCGTGGTGGAGGCAGACCTCGTACCGTCGCAGACGAAATAGTTTTGCAGGAAGTGTCAAGAGATCCGTCCACTTCAGTTCGCCTGATAGAAAGACGGACTGGCATTTCAAAGTCTACGGCACAGCGAATTTTAAAAAGGCACCGATACCACCCATACCATATTCAGAGAGTTCAAACTTTACTGCCGAGCGATTACGCTAAACGCGTACAGTTTTGTCAACAAATGCTTCAAAAGCACAGTGAAGACCCCAACTTTTTTAATACGATTTTGTGGAGTGATGAATCAGCATGTCGCAGAGATGGCTATGTAAACCTCCACGACATCCATAGCTGGCAGTTAGAGAACCCGCACGAGAGATGAGAAGATCGGTCCCAACACCAGTTTAAAATTAATTTATGGACCGGAATTTTCAATGGAGAAATATTTGGTCCAGTTGAACTGCCTCCGACTCTAAATGGCGAAAATTATTTAGAGTTTTTACAAAACCATTTGCCAAACCTTCTCGAAGATGTGCCAATAGCATTACTAAGAAGAATGTGGTTTCAAAATGATGGGTGTCCAGCCCACTACGCTCGCGACGTCCGAACGCACCTCGACCAGACATTCCCACGAAGATGGATTGGCTGATTGGGACCAATTTTGTGGCCACCGAGATCACCTGATCTGAACCCCTTCGACTTCTTCTATTTGGGGTGCTTAAAAGATAAAGCTTTACTCCAAAGCTATCACTACAGAAACCGAACTACGACGACGAGCCTATGAAGCAGCTCGAGAAATTTCTCAAATGAGTTTGAGGCGTCTGAGAAGCTCATTCGCCAAAAGATGTCGCATGTGCATTAGAGTCAGAGGGAGGCAGTTTGAACACTTGCTATAACATCTAATAAAAATTAAAATATTTAAATTTTATTGTTTTATTTTCCATTAAGTAACAACGGCGACAAATCAAGCGACACACAAAGGCACTCTACCACGATATTAGTAGCTAAATCCGCATGCTTTTGGGAAGTTTGATTTGTCACAGTTTGTTTGTACCAGTTCAGAGAGAGAAAGAAAAGCCTAGTACCTATCTCACTCCTTTATTACGAATACAACGTGGGAAAAAGATTGAAGCGCCGTTACCTAGCGCTTAGCAATTAATTCATTTAAAAGTTTAAATTTAATTTTGTTTAGAAACTGATTAGGCTGGTAGGGTGTTATGACGAAAAATAAATTAAATGACTATGTTCTTGTGAAAAATCTCAATAATGTACCATTCCTGATTCTGCATTAAGTGGAGCAATTTTTAAGATCATTTGCAAATTCAGTTTCATACATTTTTTTTTCACACTAGCTATTCAAAGTTAACGTTTAACTTTTTACAAGGGTGAGAGGTATACCAAATTAATAACTTTTTTCACATTTTATGACATTTATCAGATAAAATATTAGTTGCAGTACCTGGAAAAACTATTCAGGTTACCTGAAAAATAAAAACAACTACCATCTGGAGCTAACCCTGGCAATAGTAGCAAAAAACTCAAGAAAAAGTAGAGTTATTCCAAAAAAATAAAAAAGTGCAAATATCTCGAAAACTAAAAGACTTTTACTAAGGTCAAATTATTTTTTTCTGGTAGGTATATAGCTCACCTACCCACAGTGTCGCTCTGGTGTGTTATTTTTGGGACACATATATATATATATATCGAGTTGAAGGCTGAGGTTCAGAATACGATTTGTAATACAATTCATCACAACACGTTATTAAAAGTTACTCAAAATGAATTCGTTAAAAGATTAAATTTGTGTATCCAAGAAAATGGAGCTCATTTCGAGCAACTAATTAGTTAGATGACTATTTTTTTCGTTTTATTAAAATACGTTAAGATTTCATGGTTTTTTTTTTTTTTTTCATTTAATTAACCAATTTTGTCAGTGAGAGTTTATTCTCATAATTAACCCTATCGATACAATAAAAGTGCAGGGTGCATTTTTTTCAGATTAAAGCGGGTTCGATTCCCGCGTGTTGCTAGAAATTTTCGAAAATCTATGAATGCAGTTTCATTTCTTTTCAAAAATAAAGGAATGTTTCCTTTAAGTAAAAATTTCTATCTCCATTATTTAGAGTACTTTCTCTCCAGGTGGCATTACAAATTTCCTACCTGTATAACCTACTATATCATCGCTCAGTATCGAATCACATATTTTTTGATAATAACCAGCAGCGAAAGCAAAACGAACCGTTATTCCAACTGATTCAATTAAACGAATTTATTCATTCAATTAATTAATCGATTTGTAGTTGGCAGTACAATTTGGCTAGTACTAAACCATCTATGGTCGGGTCAGTTCTGTTTATTTACTTTTATGTAAAATGGATTGGAACTAAGTATATTTCCGAGCACGTTTGAGGTTCGTATTCTAGAACTCTAATCAATGCTCAAGTTAGGATTTGAGTATGGTCTAAAGCACTTGATATCATACTCAAGTCCCTGCCATTAGGGTCGTATTTCGAGTGCTTGTGTTGCCAGTGCAATCCTGACTTGAGCATTGAATAGAGTTCTAGAATACGACCCTCAGAAACAGCAATGCCCAAGTGCAAGAGATAAAGGTAAACGTTTGCAGTCGGGCCGCGGTTGGTGTTAATGAGTCCAATTAAGAGAAAATATGAAGATGCGAAAGCAAAGTTATGGAATTGCAGTTGACGGCTACTTCGTCGCTGCTTTATTAATTGATTGGTGTTGTTTGATGATCTTATACAAATGTAGAAATTTATTTCGGGTTAAAAGTTTAGTTGAACAGATAATTTAAATAAGTAATTTACATTCTTTATAATTTTATTTTAAAATGTAGTAATTAAATTTAGTCCTCCAACTTAGTCGTAGATATTGATTGAAAAATCTCTTGGCCTATTTCAACTATACACCTTTCGCCAATTTTATGCACAATAGTTAAATGAAATAGCCCAAGTTCTCGAATAGCTTGTATACCAGAATTAAACGCGCTCTCTCATACAGCTACATAATCAGAGTGGACTTATTGATAATAAATAAGTAGTTTACAGTTGGAATAGGTACTATTACCACCAAATGCATACATAATCTTTTTTTATATTAACAGAGTACAAACAAAACAAAGACTGCCCACCGCTGACCGGCATAGAAACATTCTCATTTGGCATGGAGGTGAAGTGGCCGGTGTCCCTCATCCTAAACCACAAAGCTATCGCTTGTTACCAGATGATATTTCGACACCTCTTCTATTGCAAACACGTTGAGAGGTTGCTATGCAGGTAAATACATTCTTTATTGATTAAAATACACACATGCTCAAAATCGTGCCCATTGTCCATGTACTCGTAAGAACCATTTCTAAAATGTAACACGATTTATTTATAAACGAAATAAATCGTTGTTTCAGCACATATTTGCCCATAACTGTCGTAAGATGGACAAAAACAAATTTTGCCGAATTTCCTAAACGAAGCGTAGATGTTAAATTTCAATGTTTGTTGTTCTTATTAAAAATTGAAGCGTAATATTAAAAAAATATCCCATGTATGTTTTTTTATACAGAGTGTGGCTGTACAACAAAGTTGTAAAACGTTTCTCTGAGGCTCGTTTATACGCCGACGCGTTCGCATTGCGCCAGCGCATGCTCAGCTGCATACAGCATTTGCAATACTACATGTGCGTCGAGGTCATCGAGCCTTCTTGGTGCCAGCTCATACAGAGCCTCGATAAGGTACACTGTTTGTTTTTAAATGATATATCATTTACTGCTGGAATAAGTAACATACCTTATTCGTATCGAATTACAATTCACAAACTTATATCCTCAATTTGAGAGAGAGAAAATTAGAGGAAAACAGGTTTTCTGTTACCTTCCATGCAAGCAGACAGTAAACTACTCCGTTTTTTGGAGTCGTGAGCAGTTTAACGGCAAATCTTTACCGTTAAACTGCTTTGTTACCGTAATGAGAAGTATCATAAATTTATTGTTGTAAACTAGGGCTTAAACCCTATACTTACGCGAAACCCATACCCGGTATAACCCGTTACCATTCCTGTCATTTTTGTGATTTCACAAAAGGCAAGGCAAACCCGTTTGTTTAAAATTAAAAATGTAGTAAGTAACATTTTCTTACAAAAGTAAATGTAAAATTTCTTAAATCATAATTTTAAATCCTCAAAATTCTTATACTTAAATACTTGTGTTTGACTGTGGTTGAAAGTCTTGATTTAATTAATTGATTACTAAAACTTTCATTGATGAACTAGATAGGTGTGTAGCTTATCATCAGGCGCACAACTTGTTGGGTCGTGTTGGGCCACGACGACAACCCGTCACTTGAAAATTATATTATTAAAAAAAACTGAATGTTTTTTTCATACAGCCGTATGCAACCATACACTATCTATATTTCTATATTTGACAAATAGCCTTACCTTTGGATTTGCATTTTAAACAAATACGATTTTAAGATATTCGCAATATATAGAGTTGGAAAAAGCGGTGAGATATTAAGTTACTTATTATTAAAAGGTTACTTATTCCATTTGTTGAGTGATTGCTTAACATTTTCACGATTGTTACACATAGGAAATGAAATTATTTTTCGGGATTTAAATCGCGTATATTTGTTTTTTCAAACAAGCTGACGTTTCGGACCCTTTACAGGTCCCATGTAAAGGGTTTCAATCCGGAAAAATAGTTTCATTTCCTATGATTGCTTAAGACCTTAATCCAAACCGGTTTGTTTACCTTTTATCTAAAATGAATTAAAGCGAACTATAGTATAAGGACATCATGTTCATTCACAAGCTAACACATTTTTATATCTCCAATAACAATGTTTCAATTAAAATATCGAATGTCTCTCTCACCGCTGATCCCCCGTCAAGTCCAACAGTTTAACACGAATTACTGCAAGAAGCGCTACAAACATACGACTTGGAAATCAATTGCCCAACTCTTATTTCAAGTAACATTGTTAAATAACATTAATAATAATCGATTTAGAGACTTAATAAATTTAACTGATTTATTCAATTTCATATATATTTATAATATTTTTTTAACACAAAGCTAACTAAACGAAATCTTTAATTATGCATCTTTTTGTTTCGAAATTTGTTACTCTTGCCAACATTAAGTCCGATAATATTTAATTTATTACCACTCAGTGTCGAATAACATATTTTGTTTGATAACAGTAAAATAAAAACTAGTTCCAATTGATTCAATTATACAAATCGAATCATCAATTGATTAATTGTTTTGCAATACATGTTACGATTGGCCAACACTAAACTTTTTTAATAAAATGGATTGAAATGGACTATAATTTATGTTGATGACGACGATGAGAGTAATGCTCACCCGTACCTAGTAATTGAACTTACAAGGGTTGAAACGTAATATTGCGAAATAAATTTAAACAAAAGTATGGCTCGGTACATTATTTATTTTATAACATAGTTGAAATGTAGAAATAATATATTATACTTATTAATATTACGAATGCTTACTCTAGTGGAAGGCATTTTTTAATGAGAATTAATTATATGTTAAATTACATAAACGCTAACAAAATTAATTAGTTCTGTTACTTATAATTTGTTCTTGTGTAAGATTAAAATGTTACTACAACAACATTTTTTAAAAGCAATGTAACGAGAAAATGTGTAGTGATTAACATTACTTTTTGTAAGAGTGCAAAGCCTGCAATACTTCTTTCAATGTGTTTTCGAGGCTCTCTATCTTGGACTCATACTGGTTTAGTTTGTGTTTAATTTCGTCAAATACCGAAATGTTCGTTTTATCGCTTATAACACACTTTGCCTTTTTTACGATTTTCCTTTCTAGTCTGTAGTCTTGACATCGTTCCAAACAACATCCACCACTCTCAATATCTTCAAAATCGTCTCCGAATTTACTCAAAGGTTCAGCGCGTGGAATTTTGATTTTGTTCTCTTGGTTAGGCTTCACAATTATTCGATACATAGGTAAAAAGTGAGGGAATAAACTTATACGCTTTGCTAAAGGTTTAATGCATAGCATTTGTGGTTTCATTGTGTACAATTTCTGAAAGCTTTGAGGCAACCACGAACAGCATCCTATAGGTTTTGTGTAGTCACTAGCGTTTCCAATAAGCACGCTTTCGAAATAGGAAATTAATTTGACTCGCGCAATATGACCAACAAGTTCGGCGTCTGCTTTAATTTCCTGAGTATCGCTAACGGCCAGACCGTTCAACAAATTGAAAAGCACTATTGGAATCATGAACACAAATACCATAAATATTATATGACTTGTAACTGGGAATGTACTGAACTTGATCGACCCCGCGTCGAATTCACCAGTCAACATAACAATAGTCTTGAATAACGACCGACCCGGATCGTTAAAAAACTCTTCCTCGTCCCCTTCCTCTTCACCTTTCTCAGTCGTATTTGGATTCGGGGGTACTTGATCTTCGTCTTCCGACACTTTTCTGAATAAAGTGTAGAAACTTAAGGCGAAAGCAATTATTAAAATGCAATACCAAAGAAGAAACTTGAAGAAGTTCCACGATACCGTTTTTAACATTGTGATATTGGTTGATAACGTGGGAAATTGTCCGATAAGCAGTACCAGTTCAGCCGAAGATAGAAGGATAGCGACTGCAGATAATTGTTGCTTTGTAGATTCGGAAGCTCTATCATAGCAAACTATCCAAGCAGTAACGATTATCAACGCTATTTCCATCCAATTTTCAATACTCTGCAAATATTTTGTTGGAGATACGATCATTTGAAACAGTTCTCGAACAACCAATATAATCAGTCCAATAATAGCACCAACATGCGTAACGACATTTAGAACTTCAATGGAGTCTGACTGTTTCTTTTCCACCCCGTATCCGAATATGATATAAAAAATAAGACACAACCACAAAAGCGAATAGAAAGTAATATTTGCGTAGAAAAGGCAGCTTATTCTTTGCCATTTCAAATACAAGAAACTTGTAATGACCGGGTGTTTTAATAGCGGCCGCATTTCTTGCATTCTGGTCATGTATAATAAAGCATCTGTTTCTGGGGTTAAAAAAGCGTCACATTCTTTGATATTATTGTTACTAGTTTTCATAAGGGGCTCTCGACTCTTTTCATTTTCAAGTGAATTATTTGGATAAACAAGAAAGCTGTATTTTATGTGTATTTCGTAGTCGTCATCGCCTGGTCGTTCGTCATTTGAAGTGATGCATTCGTCCAAATAAGTTTCCAGTGTCTTGGCGCTAATGTCTGCCAACGGCGGTACATTAAACTTATTGCGTAAGCCAATGCAAGCTCCATTCCTTAATAGTTCCAAAACAGTTTCATTGTCACCGTTCCTCGCAGCGTAGTGAAGAGCAGTGTTATTCTTCATATCTAGGTGATTAACATTAATATTACCCATAATTTTGTGATGTGTTAGCAGCAAGTCCAAACATCCTTTAAAATCTGATTTAGGATTTTTGGCGTACGTTTGCATCCCTTTAATGGCGACTTGCAAAAGCGACTCGCCGTGAATTGGATCGAAGAGTGTTGATTCGTTGTCAATAAACATTTTAAGAATTCTACAATAACCATTCTGGCATGCATACCCTATTGGACGATATGTATTTCCTGAAAATGTTGCATTTGGATCTGCTCCAGAATCAAGCAAAGTTTTAACTACATTCTCGAAACCTTTTTCTGCTGCTAACTGCAACATTGTGTTCATTCCGTTATTAGCGGCCAACGCATTGCGGTGTTCATTTTTTCTGACAAGCTTCAAAAAATCCCGAACAAAATTATCATCCTCATGTCTACTGAGGTAGGAAAACAGTTTATCAACGTCGATAACTTCATTGGCCTGTGCACCAGAATCGAAATCTGATACAAGGTGAGGAAAAGCTTCATTCAAATAATATCTTGCAGTTTTCCCTTTGTAATCTTTATATGCATCGAGATTAACTCTTTCTTTAGCGTTATGCAGTATATCGGTTATGATTCTCTCGAGCCCCTGTTTTGCTGCAGAATGCACTGGTGTTACTCCCTTAGAATCGGGAGAATTGGGGTTGCATCCCGCTTTCAGTAGCAACTCTACCATATCTTCGTAAATATATATCTCACGCTCGCGATCATCTTCGAGGTCCTCTATTTTCTTAATTGCCAACAATAAAGCAGTATTTCCCTTACTTTTAACATTTACGTCTATCTCATCACAATCTAAAAGAAGTTTTAGAGCTTCAATGTTGCCACAATCCACAGCAAAATGAATTGGCGCTGCTGAATGCGACTCGTTTATTTTGTTGACTTGGACCTTGTTTTGTGGTTGTAACAAAAGCTTTACAAACTCCAGTCGGTTTTTTTCGGTGATTGCTAGCTCCAAAATTGTTTTGTAGTCTGGATACTGATATACGTGCTCCAAATCGACAGACCCAGAATCTACGAGTTTTTTGAAAGTGTGGAAATCGTTGTTTCGTAGTGCGGTCCGGAATTGCACCTGAGGGTCGGTGCCGAAAAGCGAGCTACCTCGTGATAGTTGCCGATTCGTGGTCATCTCGTAAGTGTCCTGGGCCATGTCTTACACATCAGTGGCATCTGTAAATAAGAAAACAAACATTTATATACTTTGACCAATTTTCTCATTGAAATAATTGTATTTTCAAAGAACTCTTCGTAGTACATATTAATTGTAACGTTATTATCCAATTACGTTCAATCAGTGTTTTAGGGCAAACATCTGGAGGATCAATAATACTTGTACTCTACTCGCGGAGTTACAAAAACACTGTCCTATACCATTACATTTGGCATTGATAAGAGTTAGACGTTACCAGTGAAAAGCATTGCCACGCTTATATATCTATGCTTGTTGATTTAATTAAAATTGCTAAACGATTGAATAAACATTCGTGAGAAACGACCATGATTGGCGTTTGCGGGTGCCGTTAACTCTGTATAAATCTATTCATAAAGGAGTTACTACATTTAACACGCTCATCGTTCTATTACTATCTACCGACATACACTTAATATCTCTTATTTGGATGGTTTTTGTTAAATAGATAGACAAAACACGTTTATTGAATTTCCACAAACACACACAACAATAAGAAATAATAAGTAAGAAAAAAAAGAAGAAAAAAGTAGTTGTATTTGGCTCATATGTTATTGCATCACGCACCATAAAGTAATATGATACCTAAGGTACGCGGAGTTTATCCGTCATCATTTTAAATGAGCTAGTTCACGTTTTCTTTAACTTTCTGGTCATGGAAGCAATAATGAAGGGGCAATTGTTCTGAATTTCTCCGGGTGCTATAAAATTAATGCTACACACGTGCTGGGCTCTCTCACCTACCGCAGCAATTGGACCGATTTGCTCTTTTTATTGTGTTATTCTTAATAATTGTGTAAATAGAATTTCTTTAAACTCAATACTCGTTCTTAGTTGCAGTCATATAGTAACGAAAATTCTGCTTCTCCGCCTGTTTTATTACTCCCAATTTGTGCAGGATTTTATTACACTATAATTGTTGTTTGGTTCTTGATGAGTCGATGAAAGGCTACGCCGTTTCGTTTGTTCGAGGTGCTGTTTATCAACATTTTCAGTACCCGCATATTAACGCATTTACTGTACGTACCAATTAAATTACCCTCCGTATGATTCATGTTATTACGTAACTACTCTATTCGTTTTTATATGTATTCCTTTAATAAGCTTAGTATATTTTAAAATGATTCTTCGCAATAAATCATGCACTACAGACTTAGTTATCATCTTAAAGCGATTTACCATGGTTGTTCTACTACATGAGGAAATATTTGTCATCGGATTTGCCCTAAATTCGTCATGGTCATCGTATTATTATAATATTAATAATTCTAGTAATAAGAATGAAATTTAAATAATAATAAAACTGATACATCGATTTGCTTATAAACTAGAATTGACGATATTGGGGATTTTAATAGTATTTATTGTTAAACAAAAATTAGTAAAGCAATGAACGTTGGAGTTTAGTAGTTCAAAGTGAACATTACGTGACGATGTCTACTGAGTAGCCAAAATAAATGGAAACAAAATTCAAAGCGCCATTAAACGTTTACAGTAAACAAAGTGCTCGTTCATCGGAACGCGCTAAGATACTCTACGTGGTTGAATACTGACGTACACTTATGTGGAAAAAAATTTCAATATTGATTGTTGCTTCCTACTGGCTTGGAATTATTTCGGGCCCGAATGTTAATTTAAGTCGATATAAACTTTTATATTCTGAAATCTGTTGGTGATAGATTTATTTAAAGATTACTATACTTTTCATCTCAATTTATCAGTAAAGTTTTTTTAATCAGTACTGAAATGATTTTAGTAAACATTTGTTTAAAACTGTTTACTTACAAGTAGAGATGAGTATATATAGAGCAACATTTTATACTATAACATTTTTTCCTGCTGCTATAGAAATGTACGACTATAAGAATAACTTTTGTCCTCGGCTGTACATCAAAAGCGCTTTTGTTCAATGCTGGCCATTTCATCCCAATTGAGATTGGCCTTTATACTTCAAACCACCTGTTCAAAAGTTTAGAAAGGAAAGGAATGCCTTCAATGACTATTTACTATAGTGATTAATTGAGAGATTTAATTAAACCAATTACAAACTCGATAGAATTATAAAGTGCTTAACAAATCAGAGAGCTCTTACACACAATAGAATGCAGATGGAATAAGTGAAGTGTAAAAGTTTAGACCCTGGCCTTAAATGTTTTTTAATGAATATATAAAAAATGTGAGTGAAAAATTAACAGAAATAGATTAAAGAATAGAGCCGTCTATAGTACCCACTTACTGCAAGCTCGTATATTGTTACTTTGTTTTATATAGGAGAGTGTTTTCACATGCACCTTCATAGACATAATAGATTGTATATAATCAATTCGTTTAATGTTGTTATCATCTAATTCGTGATTCATCTTCAGTGTCCAATTTAATTTACGATACATTTGGTGCTGTTCAGTGTTTTGTAACAAAATCCAGAATCACGAGTAAAATGTGAATTGAGAAGATAAACAATACACTGAATCGGATTATCGCTACGTTTATAACATTGTAACGTGATTTTGCAATAAACGCCAAACAGTACTTTCAGTAACATAGATTTGAGAATTTCATTGCGTATTTTAGGACTATACTCGGATATATGCTATATACTATGGCTACCATTCGTAAAATTGTGGAAACTTCAGTTGATGGTAAAGAATAAAGTTATACACATGTAAATTAGATTATTGTTTTTTTTTGTGCAAATCTAAGTACGGATTTGACTTCCATCTCATCTGATGGCAAGGTCCAAGTTATAACGTTCACTGATTGTTATATGAGGATTATGATGGCACTGTGACTTAAACAAGTCAAATCTTGGGCAGAGAAAAAAACAGTGTAGATTCTGCCACGGGGCGTATTAAATTCATCTGCATCTACACGCCCAATGCTGCCTGCTACGCATGATGAGCGTACGAAGCTGCATACTGGGAAGCCACATACTACAACCATAGGACATCAGAACTGTCGAACCTAGGAAGATCGCTGTTGGCCATGGCTCCGAATTGGCATTAGTAGTGATCCCAATAGATCAGGTAATGGTAGCAGTGAATAAAGCCATTATGACATTAATAATAGATTATGAGACAATTTTTCTACAATCAATATGTCTGTCTTTGTTTATGTTAGTTGTTAGGTTTGCCTCGCAATGTTTCGGTATTGCAAGGAACCATTTTTATTGCTGACTACATCAAAATACAATATATTTTCTTTGGTAATTATCATGATAATTATCAATATTCAGTTGTACATTATTTTGAGCATCCACTCGTGCCTATTTATTGGTCTTGGCCTCTACAGAATGAAATACATTGTGAAATCTAGATAGCAATACAGCCTTCGTCTTAGATATTAAATGCACATATTTGAATTTGAAAATACATGGTATCCATAACCTTGGTCTACTTCTGTGAATTCGCATTCATTGTCCTTGGCATTTATCTGTTGAATTGAAACACTCGAAATATAATAAAGAGCTGAATAACCATGGGCGTGCCTCCGCGTCCCATGACTTGCGATAAAGATGACCTTTTCACTATGAAAATTGTAATATTATTAAAATGAAAACATCACGATTTGGATTTGCACGTAAACTTTTTTTAAATAAGTACCGACTGTAAAGAAGCTGTTTACCTACGTAGACTATTGTTAGATAAAAAAAAATTACCTAAAGAACTGCATATTAATTTAATAGTAGAATAAAAATTGCAATTTTTTATTAAAAAAAAATTTTAGATTATGTTCAATACTCAATAGCTTTATTGCTGTCCATAAGTAGAATAGATGTTACAATCATTTGTGTACAATCAAACACATCAACTCTTTGGACCGTTTTTATCGCAAGCGGCATAAAGTTGAATTTTTTTAAATAATATCTGACGGGACGAACAAGTCGTGCGCCTGGTGGTAAGCTACACGCCTATCCATACCAGTTGCAGTGCCACTCTGTGCTTTAAATCGCAAAGACCTGAGGGGCACTGCCACTGCGCTCGTCACCGTGAGCCTGTAATTTCACCAGCACCCTTACTTAGCCTTTAGAACCGGAACGCAGTAATGCTTACATTACTGCTTGGCGGCAGAAATAAGTAAGGTGGCAATACTTCCCAGGACGAACTCTTTCACAAGGAGCTCTATTGCTATTAATTAATAATACTGTGTAATATGCGTAATAATACGGAATCTTTAACTGTCAAGTTTATAGTACTCTTTATCCTGTGCATCATCGAAACTTTAGTTACTAATTATTATCTGGGCGGTAGTTCACGTAGAATTACTAATTATTTATTTCGATGCGCATGATTAATTACTCTTACATGTTAGGTTCGGTCTTATTAGTGGGAATTTAAAAAGTTTCTGTTCTGTATTCTTAATATTATTGTTATTTAAATTTGTCACAGATCACAGAATGAGCCATGTATATACATTGCCTTGACTCAGCCTCGCACTGCAAACACTAACATTCATCTTTCAATAACCCCATCGTTAAATTTGCATATTGAGTGTGTTTATGTTAAAAGAATATTTCACACTGTATTTATACGGTTTACTTTCGCAACGCACACTACATAGTCGTACTTAAATAAAAACGACTACTTTATACACGATTATTGACTATATCATTTCCGTTGCTTTGATACACACTGTACTTTTAATTAAGGAATCTAGAAATATTATTTAGAAAAATAATGTCCCTTCATATATTACATTAAAACTCTTTTTATAAAAAATACTACTAAAATTCTTTTGATGGTTTGATTATTTGGGTAGAGATTCCCTTACAAAGATGCCACATAAATTTCGACAAATTATCAATTAATAACGGAGCAAAGTGAAAAACAGTGATAGTATTGTTATTCTTCTTTTTAAACCAATGTTTCTTCTAATTATCTGTCGACATATCGAGTTCTTACGTTTTCGCGATTGTTACACATAGGAAATGAAACAATTTTTTCGGATTTAAATCGCGTATATTTGTTTTTTTCAAACAAACCGA